TCGTACGGGGTTGGCTTATAAGTTAAATACCCCCGCCGCAGCAAACCTGCAGACTAAGCGAATTTCCATTTTCCTGAATGGATTTACACTAAAATGTCTCCTTAAAAATATCACTTTTATTCCCTATTTAAAAAGAATCAGTTTAAAACATACTGCAACAGGGAGGGTAAAAGTGTTTTTTATGTAAAATGTTAATAGTTGGTAAGAACTAAAAAAATTTTCCAAATTTGGGCAAAATATGTTAATAAACAAGCAAACTACAACAGTTTACTTATTCTCCATAAGAATAACATGGAAATTTTAAATTTACAATTTTTTGGAATGTTCTCCGTAACTATTAGGCGCATTATAACGCTTCAATATACTAAATTATTTGTTTTTTTAAGCTCTACAAAATAGTTTAGAAAGAAATTGCAAAATTTTATGTTTTTTGGGTCCAAAATGGGAAAAACCCATTTTTACCCCATAAAAGCCCCCATAAACCCCCGTTCCCATGGTCCAATCATGCTGGTTCGCGAACTCGTTCGAATAAACGTAGGTTTACACGTTTGTACCAAATTTCATCAAAATCGGATCATTTTTGCTCGAGTTATCGCGCTAACGGACACATATATATATATATATATATATATATATATATATATATATATATATATATATATATATGTATGTATATAAATATATATATATATATGAATTTATATGGATAGTGTTTTTGGCCCCTAGGGACCTCAAAACGAAAAAAAAAATCGGTCCCGGGTCCAGGTCTTACCATGAGTACTACGGTAATAGCTTATTCCCTATATGGGAAATTCGCTAAAATGCTTATTGCAGTTATACTCAAGCTTTGCGTTTGCAATGGGGGAGGACAACGTTTGATAAAATTTGCTTCTTTGAATTTACGGTATACTATGGTATTACACATCTACCATAGCATTATGTTCTACCACTTCACCTAAACAATAAAGAAAAATAAATTATTAAAAATTCACAAAAAATCAAAAATTTTTCATGACATTAAAAACTTGAACATAACTGTGAGTGACATCCATTCCACTTTGACAGTTCTCATTGAGTATCAGAGTGTTTTGTTGCTGCTTAGTTCAAATTAGCTGTTTACTTAAATGCAAAAAAAATTTAATGCTGCACCCTGTAGGTAAATCTTATAACTTTTTAATGCTTTTGTATATCATAGGACCAACTTTTTTAGTTGAAACAGCTGACTAAATTCTTTAATTCCATTTAAATATGAATACTAATAAGGTTAACATTGGGAATTACAGAGCCACTGGGGCGGAGCCCGAGAGGATTTTTGAGATAAGAATATGCCTATATGTTAATCAGGAATGTGAGCTATCATTATGCCAAATTTCAGCCCAATCCGTCCAGTGGTTTATGCGTGATTGAACTTCAAACAAACAAACAAACATAAAAACACACAAACTTTCACATTTATAATATTAGTAAGATATATATATAGACTTATATATATATACGTCCGTAAACACGATAACTTGAGTAATTTTTGTCCGATTTTGATGAAATTTGGTTTAAAGGTGTAAAGCGGGATAAACTTGAATGAGTTCGCGAACCAGCATGATCGGACCATGGGAACGGGGCTTTACGGGGGGTTTTATGGGGTAAAAATTGGTTTTTCTCACTTTTGACCCTCAAAACACAAAATTTCCCAATTTCTCTTTAGACCTTTTTAAAGAGCTTAAAAACACAATTAATTTAGTATATAAAAGTATTTTTGTTCGGTTAATAGTAACGGAGAAAATTAAAAAAATTGTAAATTTAAAATTCCCATGTTATTCTTATGGAGAATATTGTCAAATGTTGTAGTTTGCTTGTTTATGGATATATTTTGTATTTTGATCAAATTTATTTATTTTGTACTAAGCTATCAATATTTTACAAAAAAACACACTTTATTAGTTTCCTTGTAGCAGCAAACCTAGGTACTGGTTAAACCTAATGGTATTAAAATATATTTAATTGAAAATCAATTAAGACAAATGGAAATTCGCTTAGTCGGCAGGTTTGCTGCGGCGGGGGTATTATAAGTATATACTAGCTGTACCCGCGGGCTTTGCCCCGTTTAACTTTACAAGTGAGCCCGTTCGCATGGCTCATTCACGTCCTGGTTGAAGTTCGTTCGCTACGCTCACTCACCTTTAGGTTGGAGCTCGTTCGCTCCGCTCACTTGTCTTCAGGTTAGCTCGTTCGCTACGCTCACTCACCTTTTGGCTGCAAATTGGCTGTAGTCATAAATTAAAAAAAAATAATAGTGCTGCACCCTGTTGGTAATCCTTGTAACTTTAATGCTATTGAACATCATAGAACAGAACCAACTTGTTTAATTGAAACAGCTGTTAAGAAATTCCTTTTAAATCATAAGGTTAACATGGGAAACTCCGGAGCCACTGGGGCGGAGCCCGAAAGCCCGATCAGAATAAAAACTACTTAGTTTTCCTATTTAAGGGCCCGCTTTACCCCTGACGCGCAACCGAATGCAAGGGTTTGCAAGATTTCTGTTTTCACCTGCTACATTGAAGGTAGAATCAAAGTTAAGGTCTCATATTAAAGAGGATGAAATTTTCTATAGTTCTTTGTTTCTATATTTCAATTATTTTAAATACACACTTTATAAACTTGAGTTGTAGTACAAGAAAAAATGGTCTTTTCAACTAGCCTTAACTTGTTGAAAAAAAGTTTTTTGAACATTTGAAAAACGCAGAACTATAGATTGGTCTTTGTACTACTATAAGCCGTTTAGAGTGCGTAGCTATCATTATTTGTTAATTCTAAAACAGTAATCTTGGAAACGCCTGCAAGCGCTTCTCGCAGCGCTGTCCAATGGTGAAACGTAGCTACTGAAGCCCGAGCTGAGGTAAAGCGCACCCTTAACGAATTTCAGCCTCCTAGGTAAATGGGAAGTGGGAGAATTAGTGATAAGTGAGTGAGTGAGTGAGTGAGTCAGTCAGTGAGGGCTTTGCCTTCTATATATTTAGAATATATATATCATATATATATAATATATATGTGTGTGTGTGTGTGTGTGTCTGTAGTGCGATAACTCGAGCGAAAATGGTCCGATTTTGATGAAATTTGGTACAACGGTACAACCGTGTAAATCTACCCCTACGTTAATTCGAACCAGCAAAATCGGACCATGGGAACAGGGGTTTATGGTGGTTTTATGGGGTAAAAATGGGGTTATCTCATTTTTGACCCTAAAAACAAAAAAATCCAATTTCTTTTTTATTTTGTAGACCTTAAAAAAAGAAATAACTTAGTACTAAAATTTGGAATAAATGTGTCTTATTTAAGGAAATTTTTTAGTAAACATGTAATCAGACAAGAGTCTAAATTCGCTTAGTCTGCAGTTTGCTGCGGCGGGGGTATTTTTTAAAAATGCGAAAGCTTGGTTGCTGGGCTATGAAAATATTGATTCCATTTATACAGAAATTAAGTTATACAGAAATAAACCCTTCCGCAGCAAACCTGCAGACTAAGCGAATTTCCATTTGCCTGAATGGATTTACACTAAAATGTCTCCTTAAAAATATCACATTTATTCCCTATTTAAATAACATTAGTTTAACGAGTATTTAGGTTTGCTGCAACAGGGAGGGTAAAAAGGCGGTTTTTTTTGTAAAATGTTTATAGTTTAGTATGAAATGAATGCATTTTCCAAATTTGATCAAACTATGATCATAAACAAGCAAACTACAACAGTTAACTTATTCTCCATAAGAATAACATGGGAATTTTAAATTTACAGTTTTTTGGAATTTTCTCCCTAACCATTGGGCGCATAATAACGCTTCAATATACTAAATTATTTGTTTTTTTTTAAGCTCTACAAAATGGTTTGGAAAGAAAATGCTAAATTTTAAGTTTTTAGGACCAAAAATGGGAAAAACCAATTTTTCCCATAAACCCCCCCATGGTCCGATCATGCTGGTTCGCGTACTCGTTCGAATAAACGTAGGTTTACACGTTTGTACCAAATTTAATCAAAATCGCTCGAGTTATCGCGCTAACGGACACACACATATATATTAAATGTATATGAATTTGAACGGAATGTGTTTTTGGTCTCTAGGGACTTAAAAAACGAAAAAGTAAATCGGTCCCGGGTCCAGGTCTTACCATGAGTACTACGGTAATAGCTTATTCCCTATAGGGGAAATTCGCTAAAAAAGTATTTTGTACATTAAATTATACAGTGTAATGTCTTGGAATGTATATTTAATCTATGGCAGGCTTATATTTTTAACGTCTTTGTCATTATTTTATTCAAATACTAGCCGACCCGGCGAACTTCGTATCGCCTAAGTTATGGGTTTCCCCTAAGACAGACCGATGGAAAGAAAGTACCGTTACGTTTAATTTTCAAGATGATCTCGTTCGCATCGCTCAATCACGTCCTGGTTGAAGTTCGTTCGCTACGCTCACTCACCTTTGGGTTGGAGCTCGTTCGCTACGCTCACTCACCTTTAGGTTGGAGCTCGTTCGCTACGCTCACTCACCTTTGGGTTGGAGCTCGTTCGCTACGCTCACTCACCTTTAGGTTGGAGCTCGTTCCCTGCGCTCACTTGCCTTCAGGTTAGCTCGTTCACTACGCTAACTCGCCTCCAGGTTGAAGTTCGTTCGCTACGCTCACTCACCTTTTGGTTGCAAATTAGCTGTTGTCATAAATGTAAAAGAAATAATAGTGCTGCACCCTGTTGGTAATCCTTGTAACTTTAATGCTATTGAACATCATAGAACAGAACCAACTTGTTTAATTGAAACAGCTGTTAAGATTCATTAATTCCATTTCTCATAAGGTTAACATGGGAAACTCCAGAGCCACTGGGGCGGAGCCCTTTTAAGAATTTCGAAACGGGAAATAGTTTACGTCCGATTCGCATACCTACAGAATTTACACACCAAATTTCATAACGATCGGTGAAGTCGTTCCGGAGGAGTTTGCAGACAAACACTGTGACACGAGAATTTTATATATTAGAAGAAGATAAGAGGCAGAGCAGAAGGCAGAAAAATGGAAAATCATAGCATCATAGCCACAGAGGAGGCCCACCCCAGACCCCACCACACAGCTGAGCAGACACAGCCAGCATGCGATATTGACAAAATCACAGAAAATGTCAGATATAGTTGTCTATTGAATTGCAAGAGTTAACTCTTTTCGAGAATTAATTTTAAGTAAGTTAACTGCCACTTCTTTGTTAATAAATTCAGTTGAGGTAAGTCATTATTGGTCTTTATTATGCTATAAGTTATTGGCTTAGCGTAACCACTTGGGTTATTGTTTTGGACGAATCTCAGTTTTAAACATAGCCTAATTTAAGCATGCCCTTAAGTTGTTATGATTTACAAATATATGTTTGAAATTCATTTGACAATTTTTTAACAGTCCAATATAGGCCTATCCCTACACTCTAACCCTTGAGCTCCATAATGCTGATATAGGCCCTAGGCCTAGGCCAGGCTATGCAAGAGAAACTTAAGCAAACTTACATTTCTCTTTACTGGTGGTACAGTAAGTTAGGCCTACAAGTTAACCCAACAGCTATGCTATGCATAAGCTGGACTAAGCTACGCTTGGGCATTTTGAAGAAAATCTCATGTAGGCCTAACTGTAAATAAATAGCCAGCATAAGTTAACCTATAGTTTAAATAAGTTGATCCTAAGTTATGCTGTCCCCTTGTAAGCTAAGCCCCTGGTGAGGAATAAAGTGGTTTGCGTCAAAGTCCTTGAGCACATATGCTCGCTGAGTGGTGCTGGATGAACCTTCAATAAGATAGCAGCTAGACTGCCACTAATGTGAAATAGGCCTATAGACCTAATTTTGAGGAGCGAGATGGTCTAGTGGTAACTTAACCCTCCCAGTGTTACTTGACGAAAATTCGACAAGCAGCACACTTTGTGTAGTGTTACTTGTCGATTTTTCGACACGCAGACATCGTTTACGGCGAAGGCTCTATGACTGACTGAATCGGATTGAACTGGATCGAGTTAGGTATCGTTCTTTCCGTAATATTCTAAGCTTTCTCCAGAGGTCTGTCTCTAAGCGCTATTCATTTTAGTTCCGAAAATATTGTAGCAGACAGCTGACGTGCGTGTATTTGTAAACAGCTAGGTTCCCCCGGACCGATGACTGATGTGTTTTATTACGTTTATCATTGTTTTAGTGTTAAAAATCAAAAGTAGTGATATACGTGGTGCATTATAAGAAGATTTAAGTGGTTTTGAAGTGCTGGTTGATGATCCTGAAGAAGTAGGTAGTGATATTGATGTAAATTATCAGCCAGATTCCTAGCTATGGTTAGGCTATGCATTCTTAGCTAAACGCTATGTACTGAAATCAGTTTTCCGCCCATAACTTATTTATTTGCAAATCTACTTCCTTATATTATTATATATTTGTAATCCTCATAAAATTTAGAACAAAGTGGCTATTTTCAAATATTTATAGGCCTATAATTTATACAATTTCATTGAGCGCGAGCTTATTTTTTTTTTTTAAATTTTCGAAATTATATTTTTTTTACCTAAAATTTTTTTTTTTTTTTAAATGTTCCTTATGTTTTATATATAATATTGAAGCCCATGATTTTCCAAACAAAATGGTATATAGAACATTAGAATTAACATTGTTTTAAGCTTCTCAGATCCGTTTTAATAAAACCTTGCAAATGCGCCAAAAATAGGTGGACATTAAGGCCTAAACTATGGACACTTGGAGGGTTAAAGCACGGGACTACGGTGTCTGAGGTCCCGTGTTCAAATCCCTCCAAATCAAAAATGGATATTCATCTAAGTGATAACTTAACCCTCCGAGTGTTATTTGTCGCTGCAGCGACACATAACACACTTTGTGTAGTGTTTTGTGTCGCTGCAGCGACTCACAAACACTGTTTACGGCGAAGGCTCTATGACTGACAAAATCGGATTGAACTGGATCGAGTTAGGTACCGGTATTGTTTTATTTGACAGATTCAGAGCTTTCTCCGGAGGTCTGTCTCTAAGCGCTATTCATTTTAGTTCCGAAAATATTGTAGCAGACAGCTGACGTGCGTATTTGTAAACAGCTTGGTTATAACCTCGGACCGATGACTGATGTGTTTTTTTCCGTTTATCATTGTTTTAGTGTTTAAAATCAAAAGTAGTGATATACGTGGTACATTATAAGAAGATTTAAGTTATTTTGAAGGGCTGGTTGATGATCCTGAAGAAGTAGGTAGTGATATTGATGTAAATTATCAGCCAGATTCCTAGCTATGGTTAGGCTATGCATTCTTATCTAAACGCTATGTACTGAAATCTGTTTTTTGCCCATAACTTTTTTATTTGCAAATCTACTTCCTTATATTATTATATATTTGTAATCCTCATAAAATTTAGAACAAAGTGGCTATTTTCAAATATTTATAGGCCTATAATTTATACAATTTCATTGAGCGCAAACCTTTTTTTTTTAATTTTCCAAAATATTTTTTTGAATCAAATGTTCCTTATGTTCTATGTATACTATTGAAGCCCATGATTTTCCAAACAAAAGGGTAGGCCTATATAGAACAGTATAATTAACATTGTTTTCAAGCTTCTCAGATCCGTTTTAATAAAACCTTGCAAATGAGCAAAAAATAGGCAGACATTAATGCCAAAACAAGGGACACTCGGAGGGTTATTGCAGCAACCCCTAGATCTAACCTGAAGTAACTTAATGTGTAAACAAAGCTATGTCCACACTTGTGCGCTTTCAATTTTTAACGTACCTTTCATTTCAGCCTTCAACTCAACATTTAATTCAACTTCAACATGCATTTAACGAATGCGTTATTGCAAGCATTGAGGCATGCCTTTTAAGTTAGCTATCCACACTCATGCGTCACTTTCCTCATGTTTTACATAGCCTACCTTTTCCTAGTTGAATGAAGACAATGCTGTATTCTGATAGGAGGAATTGAGGAGGTATAATTAGTGTTTAGGAAATTTCACAAACGTAAGAAATCAATACGTACAATATAGAAGAAAGAGTAAACTATAAAACTCGTATTTTTCTTTTGATATCGTTATTTCATTGTGTTTCACCCACTATTTTATTGTGCAAAAACAGTCTGGAAGTTGCATAAATTAATGAGTCGGTTCATTATAACCTAACCTTTACCTTCCTAATCTAACCTCACTTCAAAACACTTAATACAGTCACGAATCCGCATAAAACCCGACCTACCTTCCTCACATGCCTAAATAAGAACTGATTATTTGGTTTCAAAACGAATTGATTTGATTTAATTCCGCATTAGATCAAGTTGTTTGCTCTTCTCACTCAGTTCTCACTCCTCACTCTTCACTCAGTACGGACCCGTCCAGACCACGCCATATTATCATTAGCCTACCACCTTCAGTACCGCTCAATTATCCTTAGATTCGTAATCCTAACCTTCGTTTTACGGCCACTTAGGAATGTCTCCGACAAAAACTGATTGCATTTTTGGATTCAGCGTTAAAAATACTATAAGTAGACATATAAAAATTACATCATATCCCAATGTAAATACGGTAAATATTTGCCGGCATTCCTTGGCGCATTCTTTACTTGCGCCCATCTGTGTCAAGGCATGCGCTTGGCGCACACAAAAACGCACAGGTGTGGACTTAGCTAAACAATCCCAGGCTGGTGCTAAGTTAAGACATTCTGTTTTATAGTGTAATCTTGGTTAGTCAGTCATAATGTTCACTTATTCTCAATAGGCCTATGCCTAACTTATTTGTTTACATCACTTAGGCCTTTTAGACAATCACAAATAGGTAACAGAAACAGCCTCTTAAACTAAGTTAGGTTTCAACTTTTTAATGTTAATATTTTTTAATTCCCATTAGGAATAATTAACTTATTGTCATTCAAAATAGATTAGGCCTAGCTCACATCATCTCAAAGTTAGTTAGGCCTACTCGTTGGTTTTGTTTGTTAAGTTAAAGTTAACCAAATGCTGTAGGCTAATGTGGGTTATTTCTGGGTCTGTGCAAACTTAATTTTCATTGAGTTGTGTTTGTGTGTGTTTATCATTCAGATGTCCATTAGTAGTAAGTTTATAGCGGCAGTATCTTAAAAACTAAGGCTATACCGGTTGCCCAAGATTTTGAAACAAGATAGGAACATCTAAAACCCTTTCTGTGAAAGTTTTACTGGTAACCTTTACTAATATATACAGTAGGCCTTACACTCTCGATTATACGAGCCCTAAAGTAAAGTAAGAATAGCAAGTAATTTGTGATTTTCTTAAATTGATGTTTATAGATATTATTTTAACCTACAAATTATCTGCAGTAACCCAGAAAATGAAAATCACACATTTAGGTTGGCCCCTAACCATTGGTGAGCTGGACGAGTTGTCTGCAGAACTTCTACAAAAGCAGTGAAATTTCTGCCTGGGCATTGCCAGCTTATATCATACCTTTGGCCAGAGTTTGTCATTAAAGTTTTAATATTGACATGATTGTGTCAAGTAGGCTATTATAGTTCAAGTCAAACTCAAACAAAATTCAATTGTGGACCTATAGGCCTACCTACTTAAAAAAACTATAGGGATCACCCTAATTCTGTTTTTATTTAATCCTGTAGTAGAGTGTTGACTTAGCATCATTTATTAATATGTTGACCTACTGTAAAGTTTTCCAAGACAATTTAAGAAACGTTAAGCTGTTTGATTTATTGTTTCCCATAATAACACTGCCTTACAACATTTTCGATACTTTATACTTTACTTTTTCATGAAATGGCGACCATACAAAGTAGGTATTTTAAGCCAAGTATGAATGGAGATGAGTGGCGCTATCTTACCTCTACTACGTCAGCAACAACAAATTAGGTAGAAAATTAATAGAATTTTAGACCGTAGCGCATTCTGTGACTGGTTCACACAACTGCTTCTTTTTTAATAAAAAATGAGAGACAGCTGGTCCATAAAGATGGGTTGTCTACTTCAGCATCCAATAGTCAATGATTCTCACTAATCCTTCACTCATATTTGGGTGTATGTTTAAGTTAGGCCTAGGTGGCGTCCTCATCTCAATAAATTGATAATTGATTTAGGGAAGGTAGTTATTTTTTTTTCTTTTACAGCATTGTCACTCAGTTTTTTGTTGGAAATTTGATTTTACTCCCAAGAAAAAGTTTTTCCAACCACCAAAATGGCTGAAACAGTGGAGTTTCGTACCGAAGAAATGATTCCTGAACTGGAAGCTATGCTGGTTCTTCTTTTTGACAAGGATGAAGTTCAGTAAGTATTTAAGTTAAGCTGACTTTCCTTCTTAATTAGTTAACATAATCATTTACTCATAATTTCTATTAAGATAGCCTAACTTGTATTAAGTTAGAGCCGGTCAAATGTACTGTTTTTAAAAGTACAATCCCCACTAAAGCTTGCTTGTGCGATTTCGGTACATCTCAGTCAAGTACTTCAAATAAGGCTGTGGTTGACGTGGAAAAATCAAAATTCTCCTCGGATTACTTTATATAAGTAGCGTTGTTGCCAGTAAGAACAAGAACTAACTGAGCCATTTTTATTAGGAGAGTTATGACTTAACCATAAAAAACCAGTAAATGGACGTTAGGTTCTCTACTCTTGTGGAAAAGATTTGAGAGTGATCTCAGTGGTCTAAATAGGCTACAATGCTCGAATGCTCAATGCTTTCCTAAATTTAAGTCAAATATCACAGTAAACAGTCCGTTTTAACGAGTTTTTGGGGACATTGGTTTAACCGGAAAACCCGCTATCCGGACTGGCCTCGGTCCCGAGGAGTCTGGATAAGAGGGAGTCTACTGTATTTTGTTCACTCCGCTTAATTGGCGGACCTGAGACCGCACACCTAGTTTATTTTATCATTAATGTGTTACAGGTCTCTTCAAAATATGAGGAAAGATTATGAGTATAAGATCATAAGGACTACAAAGCGCAAAGATGACTTTATAAAATACATCAATTTTGAAACTCAGTTTCTCAGAATGTTAAAACTCAGATATAAGGTGGGTAGAGTGTTTTGTTATATTTACAAAATTAATGCTACCTGCTATAGAAGTTGTCACAGATATTATGATATATGGCATAAATTTTATTTACTATGATTGTTAATATATCTATAGTAACATCACCCCTAGAAAGGCTTTAGTTTCATCTAGGGTAACTGGAGTCCAATCAGGCCAAATCTTTGCTACCGTATACCGATTAGTTTCACTTGTGATTTCTTGCAATAGTTCCTCTATCATATAGAGCTGAATAAACCTCAGTAATGGATTTTTTTTAGCCTAAAGAAGAAGCAACATAACCAGAAACATTAGTAAAAGGTAGAGGTAAGAAATCAGGGAAGTGCTGTTATTGGTCGATAATTGTCCACTTAGGTCTGACTATTTTAGGGGGCTTTTTAGGCATAAGCTTAGGAGCTACTTTTCTTTTCTTACTGTTGCCGGTATCATTGCTGTTACTAACAACTTGGACTTCATCAATTGCAGCACAATCAAGATGTGAGGCAGGTCTACTAGGGCTGTCTAAATCAATAACACTTTCATCACGTATGTTTTCATTGAATGAAATACTACTATTACTTCTTACGACCAGTGCAATTTCAGTCACATTTACACTAGTTTCATTATTTTCGCAATCGTTGTCACTTTCTTTATGTTCACTTTCAGCTATGCCAAAACATCATTACGTTCTTCGTCACTAGAAATATGGTTGTTTTCATCGTCAAAGATATTTTTGCCATCGGAAAGGAAGTCAGGATGGTAATCAATATCTTCATCTTTGGATAGAGACATTATAAACAAATAAATACAACGCAACAATCACACTCGAAGACAATCATTAGACACATATGCAGAACTCGCAAACTCGGCCGGCAGCAGACATTAGCAGAAACAGACAGCCGGTTTATTTTGTATTCCTAGTTCGAAAGACCACCACCAAATAATTTCCAAAGAGGTATAAACATAAATAAAGAATCACTGAATCGAAACATCACAGCACAGCATCGAATCAATATTTGACCAAAACTCGCAACAAAGAATGTTAAAACTCTATGTCGGCTCCTGGCCGACCTGCGATAAGAACGGTGGATTGGTGATTTCGGCTACCAGCCGACACGAGAGTCGTAAGGGTTAATATACAAATTTGGAAAATGAGACTATTAAACCTTCGAAATTATAAAAATAAACAACCTGTGTCTTAGAAAAGGTTTAAATACCTGCTATAAAGCAATCCAATTTTGTTGTTAGCACAACTAGTTTCGGTGTCTGTATGACACCATCATCAGGCTGCACAAGGACAGTTTTCTTTCTTCATACGAAGAGCGTCATATTTACACGAAAATAAATAAACATTTAAACACGACACAAACTTGAATACGAGACATTTATTGTAACTGATCAGTTAAGAAAACAGACGACGCTAACCCGGCGGAGTTTGAGTCCAGACAAAACCCGTCTCCTGTCAACCGAAGTTTCATGTAGCGTATTAATTATATAGATATAAATTTGTGAGTCTGCATTAAGAATTTCAAAAGTGATCATTCTTCATTCAATCACACCATTAATCTATGCATTCAGAATATTTCAATTACCAACTAATTACACCCAGAACCTATCACTTGTTTTTAATAAAGTTAGTTGGCACATTCTCCTTCAAATACACCAGAAGTTGTTACAGTGTGTCTAGTAGTCGGGAAAGCCGGGAATTAGTATTGAATTTCAAAATGGTTTTGAAAAGTCGGGATATAGTCTTAAATTTCATTTCAAAGTTGGGAATTTTCATTATTTTGCCGCGATCGTCGTCTGGCGTTTACATAACCACGAAAGCCAATGATGATGATGTTCACACGGCCTCGGGAAATGTTCACGATTTTGCCGTGATAGTGGACGACGACAATGACGATGTTTCCGAAACCGCGGGAGATGACGATGACGTTTCCGTGACTGCGGGAGACGACGATATCTGCTCGGCCGCGGGAAATGTTCATGATTCTGCCGCGATTGCGGACGTCGACGATAACGTTTCCGTGACCGCGGGAGATGACGGTGATGTCTAAACAGCCACGGGAAATGTTCATGATTTGCCGCGATCGCGGACGATGACAATGACGTTTCTGAGACCGCGGGAGACGACGATGATGTCATTGATGTCTACAAGGCCGCGGGAAATGTTCATTATTTTGCCGTGATCGCGGACGACGACGATCACGTTTCTGTAACCGCTGCGGAGTCAATGATGATGTCTAAACGTACGGTATGCAGAAGATTTCATGATAAAATAAAACCAAATTTGTTAGTTAGAATTTTTTATTGCTGCATTATTTCTTTACTTGAAAACACCACATTATCATAATACTACTTTATGAAAAAGACAGGGGTTGGTGTAGTATTATTTAGAAAATTTTGTTAAGCTATAACAATTGGTATCGGTATCAAGAATCGAGAATCGATACATTTTGGTATCAACACCCACTAATTGTTGAAAAAACTAGTCTTGAAAAATCTGGAATTAGTCTTGACAAGTCTGGAATTAGTCTTGACAAGTCTGGAATTAGTCTTGAATTTTATAATGGAAATAAACTAGACACCCTGTTGTTATCTGTCTGTGTTTGTTTTGATTTTAATTCCTTAAGTAATTACTGTTTTTAAAACTTATATTAAAGAGTTTTTGTACCTTACGTTAACTAAGTACCTACACTAAACGTTAAACGTTAATTTTTAGTGTTTAACGTTTACCGGGCTCCATAACGTATACTGGGCCCGCTATTTCACAGGATTTATCATACCATTAAAGCCAGCTGTTAAGTGTAAACACAATTAAACATAACCTAAGTTGGAAGTGTATGCAGAATTTATTTTTAAAGTCTAGTTAGATTTTTTGCTTCAATTTTTCTCCAATATTGAACATTTCTTTGAGATTCACCTTAAATAATAAAATAGTGTTATTAACAGAAGTTATATGTGAAAACCATAGAACCATGATCTGTTATAGCTCCTAAAGCTGATAAAGTTAAAATGTTCTCCATAACTACAAAAGCAATCACAACCAAGTATATTAAACAATCCTAACCTCTAAGCATTGATAAAAACAACACCTCAGCTCCATTTTACATTTACATTGCAATGAGTTATGTCATTATTGGTAGCGTTAAACGTAATTTTCACGAAGATGCAAAAACTCTAAATTCGGCGCTCTTACGTTAAACGTCAAACGCTATTTTTAACGTCCATTTGCGTTTAATGGGATTTTCATGAAGATTCAAAAACTCAGGTAACTCAGGTGTGGGGTATTTAAAAAACCATGACAATTGCCCGAATAAGTTGTTTAGCCTAGTTCCATTTCAATTTTAATTTCTTGTTGGGTTAACATTTTTATAGTAAAAAAATGTATTTTATTTTGTTATGTCGGCCACAGAAAAGAGGAATTCAGAAGAATGCTAAGCTGTCCAACATTGAGTATGCCATTGGAAGAAGGTTGCATCGGCTGTTTATGCTTGCAATTCGATCCTTTCCAAAAGATCTTCGTCTCTGGATGGCATATGTCAAATTTTGTCAAAAAATGGTAAGTTCTTTCACATTACCTTAGTCTCACCCTGTTGACACAATAGCTACTGTACTGTTGAATACAAAAGCAGTTTTCTATTCAAAAGTATAATGTATAAGTGTATAAACAAGCTACATTTCAATGATTAAAAATCAATAACTCCAGTATTGTTGATGATTTTTATATGTTTTGGACTCAAAATAATCAGTAAAGTATAGGCTTTAATTTGATTTATTGATTGTTTGAATCAGTTAAGCTCAAGATACTGTATTACTCTTGGATATTATTTTTTTATTTTAACGCTGCAGATCAGCATGTGTCCTCTCTTACATGTTAAATGCATAAAAAACATAAGATTAAACATTAAAAACATGAGTGTGTATGCTAAATTAAATTAAATAATCACTAGCAATGATAACAGCTTTATAATTAATTTAAAAAGTGGCAATAACAAACTGTATTTAGTAGATTTAAGTATTAATATTAATATAATCTAAAAAAGAATTATTTTGATACAAAACATATATACCATAATATCCAAAATTTCATGCAGATTACAACTGTGTAACTAAATTGATAATCAAACCACTATGAACGGAGATATAGCGTATTTTGCTAGTGCAAACACGGAAACGCCATAAGACGTAATGAGTAAGAGAGAGACAGCTCAGATCTTAGGTGGTGGGGGGAGCGCCGAGTGGCCGGACCGAAAACCCAGCACACAGCACGCGATCCAGTTGTAGCAATAGAGATTGATGGTCATGACTAGGGCAAAGAATTAATATTCAATTATGTAGATTATTAAGTTTACCAAGCCGGTTGTGGTCTCACGGTCCATTTTCCAGATTATTATAATCAATATTTAAATTCACGTTAGCTACTTGTAGATACTTTTAACAATCAGAATAAGTCCATCTATAGAGTTAAATCTCTGTTCACTATTTATTAATTAGATATATTAGATAACATAAAAGCTGGCTGTGATATGCAGCTGAGGTATTATTGTGCACTTTGACGAGGATGATAGGTTTATTTCAGTATGGTTTGAGCAACGACAGGAAATGTGCGTGATTTAGCGGTGGTTGGAGGAAGATATATTGGGCCCAGGTATTTTAATTAACACTCACACACCGCATTTCGCCACAATAGTATTAAGAACACCAACATCTTCATTTGTTCAGGATCTAATCTGTTTACATTAGATACTGGGTCAATGCAAAAAACCTAAATAGGAGCAAGGTATAGACCAAAAGTTTTATGTCAATTTTCGATTTTTTTTCTAAATATCTGTAAAACCGACAACTGACTTTAACAACCAACCCATCCCTAATTAGAAGTTAACATTTTATTTAGGCCTTAGTAATAAAGTATGCAGGGTTGGTACGGTCAAGGAAAACCTGGAAAAGTCAGGGAATTTGGTCGGTCTGGTAAAGTCAGGGAGTTATGAAAAAATTCTGGAATTTCTCCTAAACCTTTTTACAGATATGCTACATTTTGCTCTTTATATGTTTTTGTCAGGGTTATGACTAATGACAGAAAGAACAACATAAGCACTGATGCACGTGTTTATATCGATAGTTAGTTAGTTATCGGCACGGGGAGGAATCGATACCGTATATACTGTAGTTTGAAACAAGTTTTGTTTTTGGGAGTGATTTGATGCTCATTCACTCAGCACCAGTATCTGTATGGGATCTGGTGGGTGGAGGAAGTCAGTGAGTGTGTTCAAAGCAAGCTAAACGGTCAGATTGTTCACTTGTCTAGCCAATCCTAGGCTTGGATTTTAGTAAGCAGGCTATTCGATCACCCTCTGATCACTGGCTCTGAATGCACCCAGTACCGCGATGCGCGGAAGGATAGGCCTACATATTTATCATTTCGATTTCAATACTATACTGAATACAATTCCTCATTGAATTTATAGGCTACCAATACTGATTAAGCCTTTAATAAATCTAAATAAACGTATTACAGCACTTGTAGGAGTATTTAAAAAATATTTATCCTGTGAAATGAAACCGGTGATTGTTTAGTTTGGTACGGTGCTACTTTTTGTCTTCGGTACAAACACGATACAGTAGTTATTTTTCCAATATCACATGTTTTCTTCCAATATAAGCCGATGATTTCACAAGCAAAGTATCAATATCTATCGGTATCGCAAGCATCGCATCGTCTGTCTGCCAGTGTCAAGGCCAAGTAGAACATTTTAGAGTGAATTAGTTGGTTAGTTGGTTTTAACCCTCCGAGTGTCCATAGTTTAGGCCTTAATGTCCGCCTATTTTTGGCGCATTTGCAAGGTTCGGATCTGAAAAGCTTAAAACAATGTTAATTCTACTGTTCTATATACCATTTTGTTTGGAAAATCATGGGCTTCAATATCATACATAAAACCTAGGGAATATTTGTTTAAAAAAAATTTTTTTAGGTAAAAATAAAAATTATTTGGGAAAAATTGAAAAAAAATAAGTTTGCGCTCAATAAAATTGTATAAATTATAGGCCTATAAATATTTGAAAATAGCCACTTTGTTCTAAATTTTATGAGGATAACAAACATATAATAATATGCAGGGCCGGATTTAGCATTTTTGCGCCCCTAGGCCCAAAAAATTTTCCGCCCCCTAGTCTGGTCACAGTAACTTTCTTCAACCTTTATTAAAAACTACATCATGCCCGTATGCCAGGGTGTCTACCAACCGGGAAATCCGGGAAAACCGGGAATTGTACTTAAATTTTTACTGGCCATGAAATGTACGGGAATTGTCCTTAAATGCCAGACAATGTCCTTAAATTTTTAATGGGCCATAATTTTATTGATCGCTAGTTGGTTAGGAGCACATAAAAGGTTTATCAGATGTTTGTTTACATTTTCATAATTTATTACTAGAGTAATTATGCAATAAAAATCCCATTAACAATCTCAAACCCATTAATATTTTATCACGACAATCAAGTGTCAAGTCAAGTACTTCCAAGAACTGTTGACTCAGCAGCTAGCTCTTAAAAGTTGTATCACTTTTATTCCTTTACAACTTCTTTTTTTATTACTAGGGTAATTATTATTAGATCCCAAACCTATTTTATCATGAAAATAATACCGTAGCTTTATAATGGCTGTTAAATTTCACTTCTTACTTGTACTTTCGGCTTGAAGATTCAATTTGCCGCGGCCAGTGCCTAGTGCCATAAAACTGTTTATGGTTTCATATTAAACATGTAAATAATCTACAGTCTTATTTTGTAAGTTTACCCCTTTTTATGGACATTTTATCTTTCAATTGACAAAACCACAAGCATTGTTGTTTGCATTAATGTTTTATCACTATATAGGCCTGCTTGGTTTCAAATTATGTCATTGCATTTTCTGTATCTTTGTCTTATATTGTTGGTTGGCTATTCAGGTTTCAATGTTTTTTGTTTCCCATATATTTATTTATTGAGTTGTATGCTTTAAGCAAACAAAATCTTATGAACTATAATGATGATAGTAACTTTGCTGCTATTATAACCTCATTGTTTGTTACTCAGTTTATATACGCCCTCCTAAATAATTAGGTTTAGGCCTGGGTATTTTGATTCTTGAAAGAGCTGTAAAATATATTAAGAAAATGTAATTGAGCCTAAGATAAACAACTAATGATTGCTATGTGTCGATATTAACTTTACAAATGAAAATACAATAATCTTACTCTGTGCTTATTGCTTATTAATAGCCGCTTACCATACCTTGATTTTGTACTAAGAATTGAGTAACAATATGCATTCAAGATTTTTTTTCAAAAGTAGTCGAGAACCTAACGTTGTGCCAGGGCGAATCATGCCAAATTAATCCGCCTGGATCGGATAAGCTATGTTTTGAAGTTTACGTGACGGATGGAGATATTTGTCGCTATCGCAGGAGGCAATGATTGCGTTTCTCCGTTACACTATAAAAGCTTTACCTAAAGTATAGGTAGGCCTATGTTTGTTTACTTTCAATAAATTTCTATTTTGTAATTTTTAACTCTTATCTATTACTATTTACTTTTCTCTCTGGTACAACTACAGTGAATAACAAGATTAATACAGTTTGACAAATCAGGAAAATTATTCGGTACGCCTAATGACACCGACAAAGGTTACGGCAAAGTGTCCTTAAATGTACGGGAATTGTCCATGAATTTTTTATCCAGAATGTAGTAGACACCCTGCCGTATGCCTAAGTTAATTGCTTGAATACCACTCCTCGTTGGAATCATAGAAATTTTTTTAAGAATTGACTTGTTTAGCCTTAACAAAATGCCGTCTTAAACACTTTTTTAGCAATTTTATGTTTTTAATAAATGCTCACGTTTGTGGCCGTGGGACTGAAATAAAACAACTCAACCCACCGAGAATTCCTGAAAAAAAAAAAAACATGGCCATTGATTTCAATTCCAGGCCCAAAAACATGAACTCCATACAGTACGTGATACCATAGGTTAAACATACTCCTTTAGTAGATTTGTAATCATTTTGGATTAGCTGAAAAGAATTCTTGTTATTTAAGGAGTATGTTTTATCTATGTTCAAACCTAGTTTATCCACAATAAAACGATCTAATCATCAACAATAGGTCGTCTCCTGTTTATATTACAAGAAATTGAAACACAGATCATAGAACTAACCCTAAAATAATATATAAACAAAATTACGTCAAAACTAACGTACAGTGTCACCAACATGAACCGAACTAGACATAAACAAATTTTGAATTATCAATTTCATAAGAAGTCGACTTGAGTTAAATATAATCAATGGTCGTACTGCATCTAGGTTATATTTCCAAACAAAACATATCAATATTCCGGCCAACCTACCGATCCTCCTGAGGTCTGAGGAGAAAATGACAGCGTAATAGTGCTTTGTAGGGTATTGAATTGTTCTAAAATCTAATGCAAAACTGAGATGAATATTTTGTCGTTAATTTTAAGGTGAATTCATCGTTGTTTTAATATTCAACACAACTTATTATATATTTTTACTTGATTCTGCAGATTGTTGTAAACTAATCAAAGGATTAGTTAATATTTTTTGTTTTGTGAGGTGAGGGTGGTAATAATGTCTAGCACGAATGTGCCCCTAATCACTCAGATCAGTAGTAGCATAGATTAAACATACTCTCTCTAAGGGAGTATGTTTAATCTATGGTAGTAGTACGAGGTACAGTAGTACCGAACCGAGCCTGAGCCAGCATAGTGGCAGTGCAGTGGCAAATACGATGCGTACCCCTTGGGCGCTCGTCAACGTCAACATCCCTAATACAGCCTACTCCCGTATAAATTTTTAACGAAATCGATGCGTAATTCTGAAAAATAGTTTAAATTTCCTAACTATTATTTCTTCTTATGAACTTCAGAATCACAGTGCATTGGAGTTTTTTTTAATCAACTATGACTATTTATTTTTATTTTTAGATAGCCTAGGTATTAAAAAAATATATATTCTTGGCCGTGCGCCCTCTGGGACCTTGCGCCCATAGGCCCGGGCCTACCGGGCCTATTGGGAAATCCGGCCCTGATAATATGAGGAAGTAGATTTGCAAATAAATAAGTTATGGGCAAAAAACAGATTCCAGTACATAGCGTTTAGCTAAAAATGCATAGCCTAACCATAGCTAGGAATCTGGCTGATAATTTACATCAATATCACTACCTACTTCTTCAGGATCATCAACCAGCCCTTCAAAATCACTTAAATCTTCTTATAATGCACCACGTATATCACTACTTTTGATTTTTAACACTAAAACAATGATAAACATAATAAAACACATCAGTCATCGGTCCGAGGTTAACTAACCTGTTTACAAATACGCACGTCAGTTGTCTGCTACAATTATGATCGGCTCGGAGAACATAAAGCGCTTAGAGACAGACCTCTGGAGAAAGCTTAGAATATAACAAAAAAAACGATACCTAACTCGATCCAGTTCAATCCGATTTTGTCAGACATAGAGTCTTCGCCGTAAACAGTGTTCGTGAGTCGCTGCAGCGACGCATGACACTCGGAGGGTTAAAGTTTTTAAAGTGAGGCATTGTGTTATTTTGCTTTAAATAACTGAAATCATTAAATCTAAAATAAGTTAAACATTTACATTTTTTCTAATATTTCTTGATTTTGATTAGTCGATATCGACTTGCGGTATTCTGGTACCTGGAAATAGTATAGAGGCCTAATTAATATCAGTCTGGAAAACCTGGAAAAGTCAGGGATTTTTTTCAAATTTAGTACCAACCCTGCTATGGTACTGGTAGGTATTATTTATTTGGTTTCATGAACTGATTGTTGACTAAGATCAAGAATGCATTTGCAGAGATTCAGCTCAGCAGCCAGTCGTGTACTGGAACAAATGTTGGACCAGCACGGACATTCCAAGCCCGAACTGTATAAACTGGCCGCCAAAATTGAACTTGATGATTGTAATGATATTGAGAAGGCCAGAAAATATCTCCTTATGGGAATTCATGTGCACAAAGATAACAAATCACTGCTAACAGAAGCCTTTAGGCTAGAGCTTATTGATGCTGAGAGGAAACGAAAAGAACTGGAAGGTAGGTTTAGATTTCTACCTGGAGCTTAAAGTCACTGCATTTACACTAGTTAGTGCTAAATTATTTATTTCAATACAATTCATTCACCAATTGTTATGAATAAACTGACAAAAATGATGAGTACTCAGTGAAATTAGGTAATAACAATATATTATTTTAACATCTCCTTCAATCAAAAGACAACACACAATTCTACTAACTTTGGTTTACATTTTCTTTTAAAAATTAATAAACATGTGTTCCAATTATTAATAAGCATTCTAATAAAAATATTAACATTTGATAACAGCTGGCAATTTAAAACCATGAAGTTAAACCAACTTAGCATATATAACACCAATCAATAGCATTTATTATAGCAATTACTGTTTAAAATTTATCTGAATTAAATCATGGGGACCCACGACGATTCCCTATTACCTATTACCCCATATTTTACCTTCATACTTTCTGAGAGACTGCCTTTAGAAATACTGTACTTTTAGATGCCGATTACAGAAGTAAGATTTGATCAATTTGTTATTTACAGCCAAATTACACCATATAGTTTTTTTTACTTTCAAACAGAATGTCACAATTTACATTTCATAAGTGAATAGCGGCTATACCTGTGCTTCGCAACGGAAAGAGGACGCAAAAGCAGAGTGTTTTTTAGATCTGCTGTTTTCTATATGTAGTTTGGTACTCTTCTTCAATTCATTTTACTTAAAAAAATTATTTTTCCACTTGGTTTAATAAAATTATTTTCTTTGACATGTTCGCTGCTGATAATGCACCAGTGCGGCATTGGTTTATTTTGTGTAGCCTAATTTGCTAATGATGCGCATATGTTTTTCACTAATTTATTTTTTTCAAAACTGATATAAGTTAACAATTTTAGGTTTTAGTTATAAATAAACAAAAATAGATATTCTATACAATTTATTGGATATAAAAATAAATGAGCTCTTCACGTATAGAATAATATCATTTGCAGTGAACATGTTGTATTCAGATTAGGGGTTTGAATTTCCTAGACAACTTTGTACAGTGTATAAAAAGAGAAAATCCGTTCATTTAAATAATTTTTGCCTAGTATAACCACTCTAAGCTACATTTTAATATGCCATTTAATATTTTTATTTGGTTAATGGCATTAAAATGACCATTATTTGACGTTATCACTTCAATAATGTAGTAGAAACATTCAATCAACAAACAGCTGTTCTTAGTCACTAACAAAGCTTTCTTGCCATTTATTCAACACTCATTTGCTTTCATTAATATGTTAGTCTAGATTGATAATAGGCCTACATAAAAAATATGTTTGTTTAAGATAAAAACATGGCTTTGGATCTTACAAATGTACATTTGAGTGCCAAGAAAGCTGAAAGCATTTATGACAGTGCAATCAAGAAATTGAATGATGTGGAGTTGATGAACGATCTGATGAACATCTGTGCAGAATACAGCTTTGCCCAACCTCTTCAGAACAGAATCTCCCAGTAAGTTTTATTGGCTACCTATTTATATTGTATACATGTATCATAAGACATACGAGGGTAGTTTTTTAATTAAGGGTTGTTTTTGTGTATAGCTCCTTAGCTCGTGTGTCCTTAGCCCCAACCAGGCTCCTCGCCGCTTACTAACAAAATTTGTTAACAGAATGACACGATTTGCAGCTCTTTAGCTGACCTATACTCATCGCTCTATGTTTTTGAAATTGTTCACACTGTTGAATCTATTGCTACGTAAAGTCAGTGATGTGTTTTATGATTACAAGAAACGGCAATTATTTAAATATGTCTACATTGGGATATGATGTAATTTTTAGATGTCTACTTACAGCTTTTTTTTCACGCTGAATCCAAAAATGCAATCAGTTTTTGTCGGTAGTTTTTGTCGAGATTCCTAAGTGGCCATAAAACAAAGGTTAAAATTTCTTGTGTTTTAAAGATTAAGAAAAATAAAACAAAATTAAATCAGATCAAAACAAACATTTATGTCAAGAGCATGTTAGAGTATTTTATCGTAAAGCAATTTGTATTTTGATGTTCAGTTTTTTGGTCTACGTACTTCAAAAGTGTCACTTTCTGTATTGTTCCAGAGACTTGTTTGAGCACGACACTAATGAGAGAATGTGGGATATAATTGCTACAAGAGAACTGAATCACTCTGATGGAAAGCTTACACCCAAAGCCAAAATACAGTAAGTATCATTTGCCAGCAAAATATTTTTGGTACCATTACCTTCTCCATTTTATTGGATTTAAAGTTTAAGTCAACTCTTTATAGATTTAAGAATAACAACCAAATTTTGTCTACAATATGGTGCTGACTAGTTTTGTTGCAAGAACAACATTGTGAAAACTTACAGCACATTGTGGTAAAATCGATACATAAAAATTTATAAAGTACACATAACGCAATGCAAACCACAAACATTACACAAACTCTATCAATGATGGGGCTGACTACAAACTGCACAATCTGATGACCAGCTGTTGATATGAAAGCCTGTAGAGTGAAATGTGTCGCAGGAAATGTGTCACCTTGTACGAGACAGCTGTCATGAGGCTGAACACTGGCAAGATGTGGGCCTACTACCTGGACGCTCTAATAGAGTTGGGCAAAGATACCTTCGTACTGCCCAACTACAAGCGCAAACTGCTGCAGTCCGCCTTACAAAAGGCTGCTACTGCTGGCAAACTGACGGAAAAATACTACCTCGTGTGGGTAAGTACATAGTGTGCAACAGTCTAAACATCTATCTCTCCCTTAGATTTTGTTACTGTGATAGTTGGTGTGGCATAAAGAAAAGTTTACTATAAATTATTTTAGTTAGGCTACATTAAAGGGCCAGCTTACTCGACAGAAATCAGTATTAAAAATAAATTACGGTACATGAAGCAAATAGTTTCAGCTCCAAATGAGATCCGAAACTAGTTACTTTATGCAATTTTAAGGATTACCATTTAGGAGGTTTTACTTGAAGTGTGCAGAGAGTGTAACTTCAGTTTGCATTGAATTCAGGTCGGATAGTTAAGGCTCGTTTTACATAAATCGGATATTTAGAGATTTTTGGATTTGGGTATTTTCAGATTCTGATTGTTTGACAGTTAAGGAGGCCCAATTAATAAATCAATATTAAGGTTGGTAGGTCGAGGTATTTTTGTTCAGCATAATTTTATCTAATATTCTATCTAACTAAAATGTATTTTCGTCATCTGTTACCAATTATGTAGACAAACTGTTGCCATAAAGGTAAGTATGAAATAATATGGTTGGGCGTTAATGTAGGCATAGCCACAGAGAAGGAAGGTAGAGAACTTATGGTACTACTGTACTTATGGGAAGTAGTACCATAAGTACCATACGCTTTCAGCTCTGGAATTTTGGGGTGTAAATATACTTGTGACAAGCGAGGAAGAGCCCGAACGGCAAGCACTGTAAAGAAATTCCTATCGCACTGGGTACACGATCTTCCTCCACCATGAGCGTTGTAGTACATGAAGGTGAAGGGAGCGGTGCAGAACTTTGCCCTAGATGCCAGCACTAGTGCTAGACACCACTTAAGTGTACCATTGAATGTTTCTTCTGTACCTTACTTCTCTGTGGCATAGCCTAGGATCTCTAACCTCAGTTTCAGGTTAGCCAGCTAACCTAGGCTGTGACCAGGACCACAACAGGCTATGATTGGCCTACTAGACAGCAATCTTTGTTGTAGGTTATGAGGATTGTTGTGTTATACTTTAGAACACATTATTTTGCCAAATTGTATAAACTGCTGTTCAATTACTGTATAATTAATGTAGGAATAGAGAACCCAATTGGTGGATTATATACTGAGTATGTGTTGTGTAGGTGAGTCATTTACAAATGCCAGAGAAGCACAAGAAGCTCGTGGAAGTGCTGCAGGGAGCTGTGAAGAAGCTGCCAGAATCAGTGACATTGTGGCATACCCTACTGAAGGTGCATCTGACCAAGGGGGAGGAGAAGCAGGCCAATCAGGTGTTTGAGCAAGGTGTGGCTGCTTTGACCAAAAACTCTCTACCTCTTTGGCAACTCATGCTGCAGTTTGAACAGACTAAGAGGAACAATAAGGTAACCTACAACACCTGAACAGTTAACTTACATACACTCACTGATGGACACCGTAGTACGAGGGCAGTTCTTTAAAAAACTTAGCTTTGTATAGAAGCTAGGCGATCATCCACAGTAGGTAACGAGTCACTTGTAACCACCCCCCTATGATCAAGGACAACAGGGCCCAGTTTCAAACCATCAAAAAGCTACTGATTTTTCTCAGGATCGATCTGGCAGCCATTTGATTAGCTGAGGATTGTAACCACTCAGCTACACAGCTACAAATTAAAGTACTGTATACCCATGAAAATAGGAATTATCAGGATAGAATAGTTTAGGTAAAAACCTTTGATTAGTACAAATCGACAAGAAGTAACCCATAACAATAAACACATGATAATATAAATGACAATTGTTTGTAGAGCCAACCATTACATCTCCCTCTTTGAAGGTTGAGTTTCTGGTGAGCTTTTATAAGCCGTCTTGGTCTGGTTGTTCTGTTAACTGATGATTTCCTAGAGGTGTCTGGAGGAACCATATAAAAGTTTATGCAGGGTTGGTAGGTCAGGGAAAACCTGGAAATGTCAGGGAATTTTGTTGGTCTGGAAAAGTCAGGGAATTTTGGAAAAAATCTGGAATTTCTCTTTAAAGACTACATTTTTTACAGATATGCTACATTTTGCTTCCACGTCTCAATACTTGGTCAAAAACATCGAAGTTTGACGAAAACATCGGGAACCTACCATCGATATAAAAAACATCGAACATCGACAGACATTCTATCATCACCCTCTGATTACTGGCTTTAATTGAACGCACCGAGCTCCTAGTGTTTCTACATGACCAAAAGAATATAATCCCGGTCACTGGGTTAAGAAATCCCGTTTAATCCCTTAAGATTTTTGATGTTAAATTCTGAGTGTTAAATTAGACATATTGTGTTTAAATAGTTGTTTTAACATTGCTATTATATTTTGTTAAGGTAATTTTTTCGATTGGGGTTAGTTTTTCACTAAAATAAAGCATAGTAAATAAAAACGGACGTCATAGCCAAAACTCCTGTTTTTTCCCACATCCCCTTTAAATCCCGCTCATGCTCTAAAAATCCTGTTATCGGGATAATAATCCCACGTATGGAAACACTGCTAGTACCGCGATGCGCGGAAGGATAGGCCTACATTCATCGTTTCAATTTCAATACGATACTGAATACAATTCCTCATTGAATTTATACCAATACTGATTCAAACTTTAATAAACTAAAAAAAAAAACTGCACTTGTAGGAGTTTATAAAAAAAAGTTTTCCTGTTGAAACATTTAATAGTTTAGTTTGGTACTACTTTTTGTCTCCGGTACAAGCATGCTAGTTATTTTTCCAATATCACATGTTTCTTCCGATATAAGCCGATGATATCGCAAGCAAAATATCGATATATATCAGTATCAGAAGCACCGTATCGTCTATCTGCTAGTGTCAAGTCAAGGCCAAATAGAACACAAAGTGTGAGGTTAAGTTAGTTGGTACTCTTAATTTTCCAGATTCCAGATGTTTAATTCTTTTCTTATTGGTTTTATGAGTAAACTATTTAGGCCTACATTTTTTCTAATAATTCTTGATTCTGACTATTCCATATCGTCTTATGGTAGGCTATACCTGGAAAAAGTATAATATCAGTCTGGAAAACCTGGAAAAGTCAGGGAATTTCATTTTCCAAAATCAGTACCAACCCTGTTTATGTCTTCTTCGATTCAATGACAACTCTACAATCGCTCACTGCCTCTCAAGTAATTGAGAATTGTAAGTTAACGTTCTCTCGCCACGGTATTCCTAAAGTTTTATACTCAGATAGTGGAACGTAGTTTGGCATCACTAGTGCTGAGTTCAGAAAATTTGTAAATTATGCCAAAGAGTAAAATTTATTATACAAAACAAATCTCAGTTTCATCAGAGCAATGGCTCAGCCGAAGTAGCTGTTAAAATTCAATTCAAATTTTTTTTATTCATTTATAGTTTAAGTTATACAATTTATAGCTTCAAATAAATATAAAGATGCATCTTACCTTACTTGTAGCAAAACATTTTTTTTAATTAATCCTTTTAAATTAGAATTTATGTTATAATCCTTACATTCCAATATTCATCTAACGAATGCAAAGACAATGGAATGGAAATAATTAGTTTTTTTTTAAATATTTATTTTCATCCAATATAACTTTATGTAAACTAAATAAACACTTGAGTTCAATGAAACTACTTTTCTTTTCAAAAAACTGTAATTTATGTTGTTCAACTTGCCTGGTGTACCTTAATTTATAGTTTCAAATGTTTGTACTATTAGTTTAGATTGGAGGTTAATTTTTTTTACATGTAATATCGTGTCATAGACTGTCCATCACCTAATTTAGAAAAAAATGGTTTTACTGATTGGTGATCTTTAATGTTAAAAATAATTTAAAGTGTTTTTTTTTTATGAAGAATTTTCTATGTTTTTCTTTGTAGTACCTCCACGTCGATTCCAATCTGTGGGGCCTGGGTTACAAACTTGTAACCAAGAAACTTGGCACCCACTCTCCACCTTCCGTCATGGATGGGGCCACTATGGAGAGGATAGTCGAGTCCCTTTTCCCAGCTCACACGTTGCGCCCACTGAGGGATTTCGGAAGGGTGGATGACGTACCACTTTTCAGTTTTGGAGAGATGGAGGCGGCCGTCCTATCCCTGAAGAACAATAAGGCTCCTGGACCCGATGGGTTACCCGGCGAAGTCCTCAAGAAGGTTTTGACTATTAACCCCTTGATCCTTTTGCGCATGTACAACGCCTGCCTAGTCGAAGGAGTTTTCCCCTCGTGCTGGAAAACTGCTAGGCTTGTGGTTGTTGGGAAGGGGAAGGGAGACCTAGATCTGCCATCCTCTTATAGACCTCTGTGTATGTTGGATACGGCTGGCAAAGTCCTCGAGAAGTTGATCCGTTCCCGACTGAATTCAGCCGTGGTCGCTGCGGGGGACCTGTCTCCTCGCCAGAATGTATTCAGGATGGGGCGATCTACGGTTGACGCAGTTGAGGAGGTGAAGCAAGCCGTGATGAGAGCTGAAGATTTTAACCACTACTCTCGTAGGGTTGTGCTACTCGTAACTCATTTAAACACATTTAATTCCGCGAGGTGGTGCAATATAATATGCTGGATGCTCTGGAGAACACCTTCCACGTTCTGGTATACCTCATGCGTATCATAGAGGATTATCTCCGGTTCCGCCTCCTCATGTATGAAACTACAGAGGGCCCACGGACGATGAGTGTCACTTCCAGTGCTGCCCAAGGTTCCATACTCGGCCCAGACCTCTGGAATGTCATGTATGACAGCCTCCTGAGGTCTGAAATGCCTGAGGAAACTGCTTTGGTTGGGTACGCAGACGACGTTGCAGTTTTGATAGCTGCACGTAGCGTTGAGCTGGCTCAGCTAAAGCTGAACCGAGTTATGCGTACCATAAACGCATAGATGACAGACCACGGTCTCTCGCTTGCTTTGAGCAAAACTGAGATCGTGATATTAACAAAAAAACGGATTGACACCATCGTGCCGTTGAGGGTAGGGCCTGTCGAAGTTCACACCGTTCGTTCTGCCAAGTACCTTGGGGTTATGGTGGACAGCAAGCTTAGCTGGCGGGATCAGATTTTCCGTACAGCGGACAAGGCCACTAGGGTGGTCTCCTCTCTTAGCCGGTTGATGGCCAATATCGGAGGTCCTCGGTCCAGCCGTAGAAGGCTGTTAATGTCTTCTGTCCAGTCCGTACTCTTGTACGGTGCTCAGGTGTGGGCAGACGCTCTCAATAAGGAGGTATATAGGATGCGGCTTGCCCGAGTGCAGCGTCAGGCAGCACTAAGAGTTGCATCCGCCTACCGAACAGTGTCCGAACCCGCTGTCCTGGTGGTTGCTGGAGTCATCCCCATCAAACTTTTGGCGGCGGAGAGAAAGGCAATATATCAGCGCCATGGGGAGGACCAGGCACGAACAGAGGAACGCACCTGCACCTACCAGCTGTGGCAGGAGAGCTGGGAACACGAGACTCGGGGACGCTGGACCAGGCGACTGATACAGCAAGTCCAACCTTGGGTTAATCGGCGGTGCGGAAAGGTGGACTTCTACCTCACCCAATTTCTGACGGGTCACGGCTTTTTCCTGTCGTACCTGTTCAGGATGGGCAAAGCCGTGTCACCCGATTGCATATATTGCCCAGGCATTCCCGACGACGTGGAACATACCTTTTTCCACTGCCAGCGTTGGGAAAGGCCCCGCCTGGAGACTCAACAGTTAGTAGGACTGCTGTCAGTGGACACGGTCATACCGATGATGACGGAGGGTGAGGACAATTGGACCTGTGTGTCACATTACATCCAGGGTATTCTCCGTGCCAAGAAGCTCGACCTTGACCGGGATGCGGTGTAGGTCATAAAGTATCTAAATGCCAAAAACGGTGAGGGCTTAGGTCACATGTTGGCCTGACTTGAAGTAATGTGACAAACAATTCCAGGTCTGTGTCCAACAGAGTAGAGGGGGTTTTTTAGTGAGTAGTCTGTGATAGTTTCAGGAGTCTCACACTACAGGCTGGCTACCTGTGTGCGTAAAAAGCATTTTTCAAATATAAAAAAAAAACCTCCATAAATTGCTTTACCATAGGACATATCAGAATTTATTAATGCAAAATAGGTGGTTTAAAGTATCAAAATCACACACTCTTGACATTTGTAGCACAACGTAGCGATAATTTTACCAATGTAATTGGGTCAAGAGAATATAATAAAACAAATTACATAACATAATAAGTACTGAATGTATTTAGTGATGTAAAATACCCGGGTATTTAAAACTCGGGGTAAATACCCTGGGTATTTACCCGGGTAAGTACCCAAAATCCATAAATACCCGGGTATTTTGGGTATTTATGAAATCGATTGAAATTCATTTATATTTACCCCTTAATATGTTATTGTTATCATTACATGATTAATAACGGATAGTCTATAACACCTTTTACTTCAAGCTTTGCTAGTAGGCTTCCTTTTATTTAATGATTTAGCACTTTTTTTATTATAAATAAGCATGGGGTTTCGTGTCTTAAATCGAGTAACATCAGTTATATTTAACTTACTAAAAAATAGTAGCCTATATTAAAAAAGGCTGTAGCTATTTCAATTTTTATCATTTTATAAATTTATAACCAATTAAATAACATAAACAAAATTATTTTGATTTATAAATATCCAGGAATTGTTGAAAGATTTATTGTGCTATAGATTCAAATGTTTTGTACCACAAGTTTATGAAATTAGTTTTTTTATTTTGATACTATTAATACCAACAAAAGATCTAGAACAAAAATATTATTAAATCCTGCCATCCTACAGATTGAATTTTAATTATTTTCTTAAGTTGTTTACACATAGGCCACTACTAGGTTACATTTTCCTGTCTTTCTAAATAATAATTATTACTTTACAAATTATTTTTCTTCACTTCCAATAAAATAAATTCATCTATCTAGCATAGAAATTAAAAAATCACAAGTAGTCAGGACCAGTGCAACCATGGGACCAGGGTATTTATGCCGATTATGCTTTATGCTCAGACCTGGGTATTTATGGCGATTGTACCGAGAAGTAAAATGCTAGTAGTGACCATATGAAATTTTGTTCAACACATTTTATCATCATTTTACTATCCTTTCAGGGTAATAATTGCAAAAAAACATCTCAATCTTCTCTAACTTTAATAACAATTATAAATACCCAGTTTTTGGGTATTTACCCAGGCCTGGGGTAAATACCCAGGTAAATACCCAATTTATATTTACCTACCCACTGGGTATTTACCCGGCCCACATCACTAAATGTATTTATATTTATTTATGTATAACTGAATGCATGAAACTCATTATAAAGAATAACAATGATACAGGTTGAAGAGTTGTTCAAGAAAAGTTGGACCCAGTGCCGAGAGATATCTCAGCCTCTTAAGCCCATGTACCTGGAGTGGCTAGTATTGACCCAAGGCATTGTGGTCGCTCGCAAGACTTACGACAACTTGTGTGAGAACTCTGCCCCATGTCTAGAGATGCACAAGAAGATGATCTACCTGGAGTCCATCCAGCCGTCCATGAGCATGAAGCGAATCCGTCATTGCCATACAATCGCATGTGCACAGTTCGGTGATCTAGATGTCAGTAAGTAAACCGCCATGTCATTAACCGCCTATTTATCCTGTGATGGTCGTACAACAAACAAACTTACCATTACAGTATTCTTGATTTAATTTAACTTCTGATTTGATCATCACACTGGCTGTATATTCATATTTTGACAGACATTTGCTTCTTTACAATGACTGTTAGTTTATTTTAATCATATGAAACTATGTTTTATAGCCTTATCAAATGAAATCTCCTTGTTATTTTTATGCCATGTCTTATTTCAATGTAATTCTTTTCTAGATGTATGGATGGACCACTGCAAGTTTGAGATCAACTCTGGTGATACGGAGAGGCTGAGTGAGATATACTGGAGAGCTCGTAAAAACCTGTCTCCGCAGCAGTTTGAAACATTCCTCTCAGAACTGACGATCATATCCGCACAGACCCCCTACGGGCTTAAAGATGGAAAGTTTAAATGAAAGGATTGGTTAACAAACGTTTTATAATGTATGATTGGTTTATGTTAAACTATCATTTACTTTTGTTGATGTATTGTATTCAAATTTGTTGGTAAATGTTACTACCAATAACCTTGTAAAATTAACTTATGCAGGTTTAAATTACTTGGTTACTGTCAAAACGATCTCGGATAGTTGTGACAATAACCAGGTAATTAAAACTTTCATTAGTTAATTCAAACAGTCCATAGGGTAATCCATCGTGTAATTACAAAATTAAGTGGAAAATTTTATTATTTCAGTTGTCAACAGTTATTCACCACCTATTAATATGTGGTGATAATATTACTAATTTCCTTAGTGCAGTAAAAGGAGAGCTGTAATTATAAAATATCTAATGGTTTGATTTTTGTTCATCTTATCTATTGATTTTAATAGTTATAAAAATAAGTTAAAGTGTTATTTATCAGTCTTCTTCAGGTTTTACTTAGTTTGACAGTTTTGATAGTCATATAAATGTCAGTAATAGTATTATTTGTATATCCTCAAGAAATTCCTCATTCATTAATTTTTGCTTTGTTTAATTGTATGTTAAAGGTTTTTTAACATTCATACAGTAAATTTCCTTTCAAAATAATTATTCATCATCTGTAATGTCTTAACTCTTGATAATAAAGAATATATTTGTTATAGAACTTGGTTTTTTTACCCACTATAAATTTAGGCCTACTTTAAAACAATATGCTTAATTGGAGCAACAGTAAAGCCCTGATTAACCAAAATAAAGGGGGCAAAGTTGGGTTGGATGACCTACTTTTAGGTTAATCAATTAATGGTTGGAATAAAAAGGATATTTGGGTTCAGAAAGATGTACAACAATAGTTGTTCACGTTATTTGATTTACTATAAACTTATAACCTTCACACAAAATGTTTTTGTATGTAAATAATGTACTATTGTATTCTAAACTCTTATCTTTAAAATTCATTGTTGTAGCCCCGGGACTGTAATACAGGGTGTCTCAGACCACCCGGCCGGCTTGTATAGCTCCAATATGAAAGCAAATTGAAACCTAATTGCAACTGGAACCCCCTATTTTGACCCCAAGGAATTCAGCTAAATTATGTTCAACCCCAAAAAAGCACCCCAAAGGGCAGATTTTGGGGGGTGGGGGTGATTTTTGGGAAATTTTTAAATATAAAGGGGGGTCGTGTTATACCTCTTTTTAAAGGTCCTTTAGTCCTGAGTATTTTAGTGGAAAAAGATTTAAATTATCTTCATCCCTATTTACAGGGTGTTCAAAAATGTACAAAAAATAGACCTTTGAACTACTTTTCACTGTAAAGAGGTGGAATTTCGTGGGGGGTTCAAATTTTGACAACACTTTAATTAATAAATGAGCTTTCAAAAAACTCTGGTTTTAACCCTTTTGCTATCTTTTTACTTATGTTACGCATTTTCAAACTTTTTGAAGTTTCAAAAGCTGTTATCTCAAAAATTTCAAATGACAACATGGGTTTCGTTACAAACCACATTGTGGCCCTTGAAATTTGCTATAATTTTTGTATTTAATGTTTTTTGGTATCTTCATTGGTTAAAGAGATATAGCGAAATTAGTGTATTTTAATGTTTTATTAAATGGTATTCATAGTGTTTGCTGTTGTAAATGTACACGTCTAGGTCTCAATTAAAACTAATTACGTTAAAAAATTAAAATACTACCCAGATTGTTAAACTTGGAGGATTAATAAAGGAAAAAACACAACTGCAAATATTCTTAGTTATTTTACAATTTACAAAATTCTAATAGTGCTTTGAATGAATACTGTCTATAAATGCTACTGGTACATAAAAAAAATCATCATGAAATCAATGAGCGTGTGCGTGAAACTAGTCACGTTTGATCAGATAAAACAAATTTTAAGGAACTTACTGGATCTGTACGAGAGGTGAATGCACCTCCGGTAGTAAAATAGCAATACAGTACCATAATAGTGGAGAAGAAGTACTACGTGCATAAACAGAGTTGGGGTTTGCATGGAACAAAATGGAAGGCAATTTAAGCATTTGTAGAAGTCCATCGGTATGTAGGCTATTAATGCTGATTCAAACAAATTATTCATTCAAAGCACTATTAGAGCCATGGAATTGTAAAATAACTAAAGAATATTTGCAGTTGTGTTCTTACCTTTATCAATCTTCCAAGATCAACAATCTGAGTACTATTTTATTTTTTTAGACAAGATTTGTTTTAATTGAGACCTAGAGGTGTACATTTGCAACAGCAAATACTTTTAATACCATTTAATAAAACATTAAAATACACTAATTTCGGGGGGGCCACCAGTTGACCGACAAGATACTTGGTCGTCTTGCCACTAGACCGTCTTTTTTAATTAAATAGATAAATACTGAAAACCAGTACGTCGACAAGTTATTTCATCGTCAGTCCAGTTGACCGGCCTGTAAATCTAAATTATTATATACGAGAAACCAACTTGTCGTCAATCCTCCCGACCGACTTACCACTTGCTCGTCTTTTAGGTGGGGATGTGTTGAGCGGCAGTGCCAGCGACGCGCGCAGCTGTGGAGGGCACTGCAGGCGTACCAACTTCTGTATCTTGTAGCGGCGGTTTTCATTCCGACGATTTTCAGCTATCACAATGCAGCGGACTAGCGACGTTCTTATTACGTGTAATTGTTTGTTTCTCAATCGATATTTTGTTATACACAGTACAGTGAATATAAATAGGCCTATATTAGTTTACTTCAATGAAATAAATGTTTTATTTAGCTAAATAAATAAAAATACGCCGATTGAACAAATAAAATTGTTACAGACAACAGGAAGTCCTTAATATGATCAAAAAAGTGTTTATCTTTATTAAAAAATTACTGAAATTTGTAAACTTACTGCTGGCGACAAGGGTGGTGCCATACGTAGGTTTATCAATAAATAAGATAAACATGGACAACCTTATGCAGTTATAAGTCAGGAAACATTTGTAGAAACATTAAAAAGCAATACCAATTTATGAAATATGATAAAATATTTACAGGAAATGTTGATTACTGTATATACATCGTGAGTATCTCCAGCAGTTACACACTGGTGATCTTTGAGTTGACTCTTTTAAACTCATTGATTATTACTTTTTTTCGTTTTGAAATAAATTCTGTATTACTTTGAAATTGCTCGAATTCGAGCAACATGTACACGAGTTTGAATATTAAATTAACTAACATATTTATGTAATAGGAGGGTCAAATATTGTTAACAGTGGTGAGGTAACTACCGTTACATTTATTCAATTGAGAGATAAATACAAATTGATAATACCGGTTATTTAAAGCTTTGTTGTCTATTTTTCCCTCTCTTAAAAAATAAAATAGAGAATGAATTTAGACTTTTGGTGACATTAGTTTGTACTATTTCTCCTTAAATGACACTGCTGTCTTGGTAAGCAATAGTTATCTCGGTAAACTATTTATTTGCTGAAGTGCACAGTGTGCTACTTAGCCTGAGAAACATCTTTTGTTTTATGATTTTGTTGTAGGCCTATTGAAAACCTTGTCTAGAAGGAATTCCCATTGCCTGTGTTACCGGGGAGAAGTTTTTCTTAGTAAAGTCTGTAGACGTCTTCGGTTTTACACAGAAACATGTAATTATAATTGAAGAAGTACATGTTTTATCCTCTCACGTTGTTGCGTGGACAATGCTATGGTGATTCAATTCTGTGTACTTCAATTGTCTAACTGGCCCTAACTGACGCATCCTTGTTTTTTTTTTACTAAATAATGTAGTCTTTACTTCCGTGGATCTTTGCGTTTTATTGTTTAACTGTCCTCAAGTAAGTCTGTGTTCTGAGTAAGTACTTCAAATGCACGGCACTACTGTATATTCAGATTTTCTAATGAACTAGCCTATCATAGATAAAAGAAGTATAGACATGTATGTATGACAGAGTATGTCTACTCCTTTTATCTATGGTACTATTTCCAAGTTCATCTGGACGACCCTGCAAATCGTTTCTATTAAAAAAAAAATTGTATTTGGTTTATGTTTATGAACTTGTATGAGTGTTGTTAACTAAAGCTAAATTCACATCAAATTAATTAATTTAATTTATTTTAATAGTATTTCTAATTAATTTCAGTTTTAAGAACATATAGTAAATAAATCCTTGTTGAAATGGCTGTACTATCCATGCAATTATTGTCAAACTATATGTTCAAAGATTCCTGGACGGCAATGTTATAATACTAGTTGGAGCAGAGGTACTGGATCTAGGGTTAATACAGTTTTGTGACGTGTAAGGTATATCACTGCAGAAGTAGTTAGCTCAAGAATTATGACGCGGATGACAAAGATTGGTAGCTTTTGCTATAATTATAAAAAAAACCAAGTACATAAAATCATTCACAGTTTTTTTTTCACAGTCTATTGAATAGCCTGCAGTTAAGTTCACTCTAATGAAGAATATAGACGTGGCCAGAGTTCCAAACGATTTAAGCAACAACTGTTTACATGAACTATCCTATATGTAAGTTTTTTTTTTAGTGTGCAATGTACTTATTGAATTTTCATTAGTAATATATCATGGCTATATCGTTTATGTAAAAGTATCAAAAGATAGTAAAACGAAAACGAAACAATCAACCAAGACCAGTGACCGAAACAAGTGTCGAGCTGGCGGCGCCGCGCCTACCTCGGGATTCCCCGAGGGCAATAATTCATCTTTGAAGTAACACCGGTAACACTGACTCACTGGCCGACACGGATACCCGCCTACCACCCCCTTTGTGTCGTCACCCTATGACCACCGGTCGGTCGGCCACCCATCCAAGGAAACTCTAGACATCGGCGGCTCTTTGTCGTTCGTTGACCAGCGTATTTTCTAGAGTTGAATGTATACCCTCACTCACACCAGGGAATAAGTAAACTGTAGTAGTTTTCTTGTTTATGAAAATATTTGCATATAATTAGAAAAAATCATTTATTTATTTATAAAATGTTATTAATTTTACAAAAAAAAAAAACACACTTTTACCCTCCCTGTTGCAGCAAACCTAAGTACTTGTTAAACTTATTCTATTTAAATATGGAATAACTGTGATATTTTCAAAAAGTCATTTTAGTGTAAATCCAATCAGGCAAATAGAAATTTGCTTAGTCTGCAGGTTTGTTGCGGTGGGGGTATATTTCGTCATAAACTCTTTTGCCACTTAAGAATCTTCAATAGTAAAGTGGCAACTAAAACGCGACTCCAGCGACCCAATTCTGGCGGCGCTCTAGAACTACCCGAAGGCCTTTTCCGGTATTACGCGTGCCGCATCACACAAGTAGTTTTCCCGCGCCCCTATTCAAACGCTTGTAGGCGAAGAAAAAGAAAGCGAGTTGACGACCGAGGCTAGGTCGACCCGATCGACTTCGACAGCTGTTTTACTGTCTCTCTCCCTCTCTCTCTCTCTGTCTTTGGATGTGTAGGGTTGGCGAGGGTTGTAAAATTGCTGAAAGTGAAAGGGACGTGGCTGGCGCTACGTTCCTAGTTTTTGCCCTCTTGATGCTAACACTGGGTCGGCTACTCGAGATCAAACAACAGCGTGTGTTTAGTACAAAATTGGGTCCACAGTCACATCTATA